GTCGTTCGGGTTGAGCCGGGAGCTTCTCCGCGGCTCTCCAAGAAGTCCTGGAAGAGAAGGCGCTGGAAGCTCGGGAGCGCAGCTGCAGGCGACGCTTGGGGCGCGCGATCCAGGGCGGCCGGCGAGTCGCGGGGCCACCCCCCGAGTCCGGTGCACCCGCGCGCCAGGCTCTGTGCGGGGCTCGAGCGTCTCTTGCCGAATCCTCGCAACACCCAGAGAGCACTGGTTTTCCCACCCTGGAGGTGAGGACACGGATTTCTCGGGGGCCGGCAAGTCAGTTCGCTCCCGGGGACCACGGCTCCTAAGCGGAAAGCTGATAAGATCCCTAACAAATGTATTCGTAAACCTCAAAATCCAAAAAGTCACGAGAGCACGTGAAAGTGCTTTTTAAAAAAATGTTGAAAGTAGCGAGAGCATGCTTTGATCTGCCTACCCCAGGTCCTTATTTTTCTGACGATGCCTCTGGAAAAATTGGTTTTGATTGAGTGCTGTTCATGGGGAAATGGGACGAAGGTAGCGGATGGCCAGCAGGGATTGTTTCTAGAATTTGTACTCCAAGTTTTATCTTTTAAAAACTTTACCTATATTCTCGTTCAGTTGTGGTAACCGTGGTACGTTTACTAAGACTCGAATGGCAACATTTGACTGCTTTGTAGCGTTGTAAATGGTAATGCGAGTTTTTTCCATAGATGGATGTCCATGGCAGAATAAGAGAAATTCTTGCTGAGACTATACGGGAAGAATTGGCACCTGATCAACAACATTTGTCGACAGAAGATTTGATCAAAGCCCTTAGACGGCGGGGAATCATTGATGATGTGATGAAAGAACTTAATTTTGTTACGGTGAGTAATTGGGGGAGGGGGCTGAGACTGTCTGATTATGCATTGCACTGTTAATAAGGTCCACATGTGGGGCTTGTCCTTTTAGTAAAACCATTTTGAAAAAAGGCCGTTCTATTTAGTATTATTGTTGTTTCAAATATAGGCTAGCTCTGCCCTTGTGTATAGCAAATAGTATTGTGTATCAATGAAATTTGAGTTATATGCCATATTCCTCTTTTTACAATGACAGAATTCTCTCTTATTTTCTAGGCCTGTAGATTTTGGATATACGTATTTTAGTCAAATTAGTTCACCATAACAAAGTTCTTTTTCACTAAGATTGTTCTATGATTTTTCTAAATTAAGCTTATTTTAAAAATAATCACTCTTTTGAGACTATATTCTCTATGACTAATTAAAAATTTCTTTAAGAAAATAATTGACTACATAAGAGTCCTCAAATCTTTTCATACAAATAGGTCAGTAGTGGGATGATAGCCTCTAAGTACACAATTAGTAAGTAGGCCTTATTTTGAAAATGAGGCAATAATGAAAACTGTGACCTCAATACCTGGGTAATATAATGTGAAAATTGGATGAGCTTTTTAATACACCAGAGAATACATATTTTAATACAGCATCTTTTTTTGGATTTTGAGGTTTATGAATACATTTGTTACAAAAACCGGCCTAAAAACAGCTCCTATTGTGTGATTGATAATGAGTTCATGGTGGGATTGTAAACCAAATGTTATATAAGGTTTAGAGAAAGTTTAACCTTGTTTTAGACATTAAGAATTTGTTTTTAGCTTTCTGTGGATGGCATTGCTTGAAGACAGTTCCTTAGTATTAGGTTTTAGGTGGGACCGGTTGTTCAGGCTTTTATTTTTATTATTTTAGTTATGCTAAGAAAATAAGCGTTCTTTGAAAGGACCTTATCCTATTTTACTTTCATTTCAATGCTTAGTCCCACTATTGGTACTTAGCTAACTATAATTTTTTTTAAAGATTTGTTTTGATTTTTTTTTTCTGCCTTTCAGGACAATGTTGATCAAGAACTCCCTTCCTCTCCACAACAACCTATTTGTTTTGATAGGCAATCAACATTAAAAAAAAGTATGTATATATTTTTAAACAAGTTGTGGTTAGTAATGAATATTGATGTGCTGTAGTGTTTCGTAGTTGATAGAAGGCATATCAGTTTTTTTCCCAAAATGAAATACTTAAATTTTAGTGGTTAGTTAACCAAAAACTTAGATTCTGTTTTGCATGAAGTATTTAGAAGATTTAATGTATAGCACAGCAAAGCAAAAACAGGAATGCCAATTTCCCTTGTTTTAATAATATATTTTATTTTATAAGGACTATACAATCTTGCTTTTTAAGTGGTAATATAGTTATCTGGCAAATTCACTTGCTGAGTTGATAATTACCTGAGTTGGTTTGTGAAGGTGAAGGAGTGTTGGATAAGTAGCTAAAAAGCAAAGATATAAGAGGCCTGGGTCCTGATGCTTTTGTAAACTCAGAAAAGGATATATTATATATTTCTTCTTTTCATGGTGCAGGTAATTCTAGTATATACAGTAGCAATTTTGTTGCTCTTTCTCTTTTTTTAGTCTTTGGTTTTATTTCTATCAAGTTATTATTTCCTAATGTCTTGATCACATTCTTTAAGCTGTTTGGCAGTTTCCTCATATATATTGCTACACTTTACAGCTAATATTGATCCAACACGGAGGTATCTTTACCTTCAGGTTTTGGGTGGAAAAGCTTTCTTGGAACACCTGCAAGAACCTGAGCCTTTACCTGGACAAGTTTGTTCAACATTTACTTTATGTTTACATTATCGAAACCAACGTTTTCGTTCTAAACCTGTTCCATGTGCCTGTGAACCAGATTTTCATGATGGCTTTTTACTGGAAGTACACAGAGAGAGCTTAGGTAAGAAAAAAATAATAATTTGTCATTTAATTGAGTAAATCTTTTTTAGGTTTTGTTGTGAAACCACTTCTTTAACAACTTTTCCTGTAAGGAGAGATTTATAATGAATGAATCTCTCTAGTCTTTTGTTTTCAGGGTTTTTTTTTTTTTTTTTTTGCCACAGCCTTTTTCAGTTTAAAGTACTTCTGCCTGCCTTCTTGCATTATTCTGGTTTGCTAGTTAATTTTCCCTGAAGATTGTTTTTTGACTGTTTTAATTCTTGATTCTTTAGTGATAAACCCTTAAATGTCTATTATTTGCAAGTACTATGCTAGGCTGGTGCTGGGGATATAGTGGAGAAAGAGACATCCTTCTCATTTTTGAGATGGCCAGATTGATCATGCTGTGTAACTTTTAAAAGTCAAAGTTGAGATGTGACTATATAACTCTCATTTATAACTAAATTTTATGACACTTGATTCCTATAATTGTTTGATACTGTTTCTTTCATTAATGATATTTTGTACATTTTGGTTGTCAGTATGAAAATTTTTTTAGACTAAGCAAAGTTGTAGAACTATACTTTCAGAATCTTAGATTTTAAGATGACTGGTATACTACTAAAATTAATTTTTTCCTCTATGAAAAATGCTACTCTAATAAGGCAATTAATGGGATAAATTGCAGGATTCAGTGTTGAATTTTTCAGTTTTGTGTCAGTAATTCAGTGGCCATTTCTGGAGGTTAAGGAACAGAGGCAGTTCGAGGACTAATATTGATACATTTGAAGGACTTTTAATGTAGTAGCATATATCTTAGTCAGGTACATTTTTTTTCTTTTTTGAGTTGGAGTCTCACTCTGTTGCCAAGGCTGGAGTGCAGTGGCATGCTCATGGCCACCCCAGTATCGACCCACTAGGCTCCGGTGGTCCTCCCACCTCAGCCTTCCAGGTAGCCGGAACTACAGGTGCATGCTGCCATGCCCGACTAATTTTTTAGTTATTGTAAAGATGCGGTCTTGCCAAGTTGCCCAGGCTGGTCTCAAACCTGCAGACTTAGGCAATCCACTTGCCTTGGCCTCCCAAAGTGCTGGGATTGCAGGCTGAACCACTGAGCCCAGCCTAGTCAAGTACTTTTAAAGAACAGACTTAATCTCTTATGGATCAGAAAGCATTATATGCTGGAAGTAACTCATCGCAGTTACTGCCAGTCTTTTCAAAACTTAGTGATAAAAATAGGACTATACTTTTATTTCCAGTTTTTTGCATGCTTTTGAGACATCACCAAATTGTTCTATTTGGTTTTATATAAGCTTATCATTTCGTGTACCTTTTAATGCAAGTATCCTAACTGAATACGGAGTGTGGTGTAATTTTCTCTGATTTATATTGATAGGTGATGGAACTAGAATGGCTGATTCTACAACAATGTTATCAATAAGTGACCCAATTCATATGGTGCTAATCAAAACAGACATATTTGGTGAGACTACTTTAGTAGCATCCTATTTTCTGGAATGGAGATCAGTTTTGGGCTCAGAAAATGGAATGACCAGTCTGACTGTGGAACTTATGGGTGTAGGTATGATGATTAGTATCACTGTTACCTTTTTTATAGCTACAGTTTATGAATACATTTTATATCTTTAAACTATGTTTATAAGTGAAGAGGAAAACCTATAAAATAGAATTTCATTAGAATTGCAACTGGACTCCAGCATCATAGTCTTGGGAGGTGTCTTTAAGAATAGTATCAGTGAAGCACTTCATAGTCAATCTTTCCTTGTCTTAGGAACATTTTTTTTTCCTGGAAAACAAATATAGATATTTTGAGGGTTTTAATTTTTTTCAAGTTTAACTAAATATAAAGCTATAAAGAAAATTAACATTCTTCCCATACATGTACATGTTTGCATGTAAAAACATATTTTAGGCAGCACACCCTAGAATATAGTTCATTTCCATTAGCACCAGTGGTTCTTACAAAATGTGGAGCAGGTGTCTCCCAGCCTTCAGTAGTGGGTAAGTGAGAGTTAGAAGAGCTGATAACTTGTTGAATATCAATATCAATGAATAGTACTCCTTGAGGGCATAGTTGGTGCCCGACTCATTTGCCATAGTTTCCTTGGAATCTTGCATACTACCCACTATGTAATATATTTTGCTAAATGAAAAAACAAAACCTACCAATGTCTTATCCATAACATATGATTGAATTACTCTGTCATTGAAACTTAGTCACAGAGTTAAGCCTGGCCAGAGGACAGCTTAGTCTTAGTAGTTTAGATTTTAATAAGTCAGACCCAGAATTTGTTTTTTTTTTTTCAATGAAAAGTAGAGAAAAAAAGTTTTTTGATGTAGGAAATTTATTTTTAAAAAAGATACCCGATTATTTGTTTTCATAAATAGGTCTAACATGATAATCATACTAATGACTTGGAAACAAGCATATTCTGATTCACTAAATATATAACAAATAGTATATTTCTTCTTTATTTAAATTCAGACATGGATTGAAAATTTGTATTTGCACGTGAAGTGATAATGGGAAGGAGTAAATGGGAACATGTGACAAAGCATAAATGCTAATTTTTTCCCTGTGGAAACAGAATGAGGTGTTACAGTTGCTTTGACTATGTATTTAATGTCAATCTGGTCGGAATTCCACATGCAATAAAGAGAAAAATTAAGAATTCCAAATCCTTTAGGTCAGAAAAGTTCCTTAAAATTAGATTAGAGGGCAACCCCTTTGGGGCCCCTCCCACTGTGGGAGCTTTTCTGCCCTCTCAATAAATCCTGCTTTCTCAAAAAAAAAAAAAAAAAAAAAAAAAAAAAATGTGATTAGGTAAGAAAATAGTTAATTTCCTTATAATTAGATAAATACCTTTGTAAAAAACAAAAACTGACTTGATTTGGTTAATTTTTAATGTGAATATTAAAGGTGATGTTGAATGTTGTCTTTATTCCTTGTAAGGGGTAAAGCATCACATTCCTAAATTATTTTGATTAGACATTGATTGACTAAACATACATAGTATTGAAACTGCTGTCCGGGCTTGGTGGCTCAGCCTGTAATCCTGCGCCTTGGGAGACCGAGGTGAGTGAATTGCCTGAGCCAGTGAGTTCGAGACCCGCCTGGGCAACTTGGCGAGACCTCATCTCTACAATAAAAAAAATTTTTAAAAAATTAGCCGGGCGTGGTAGTGCGCGCCTGTAGTTCCAGCTACTTGAAAGGCTGAGGTGGAAGGATCGCCGGAGCCCAGCAGCTTCTGGGCGACTGAGTGAGACTCCAACTCAAAACAAAAAAAAAAAAAACCAAAACAAAACTGCTGAAATTCTAAATATTTTTATTTACAGGCACAGAATCAAAAGTTTCTGTAGGAATCTTAAATATAAAACTTGAAATGTACCCGCCAGTCAATCAAACGTTATCTCAAGAAGTAGTGAACACACAGGTAAATAATTCTGAGTATCTCTTTTTTTGTGGATTTTTTTCATAGTAGCCTATTTATCTGTTCATCCTAGAAAGTACTCTCTTTTTAGAAAATAATTATCACTCTTTAGGTTAGCAAAAAGGATGAGAATGAAAATAAAGAGAAGATTGTTTTCCTAGGGGAATCTAGTCTAGATTGGGAAATGCAATGAACATACATTGAAATAACACAAAATTTACCACATACAAACACAAAGCTGAAGGGGATAAAGAAGTAAGGCACACCATCAGTGGAGTGGAATTTTAGTGTTAATTTCATAGACATTTATTGAAAGCTTGCTGCTCCAGTTATTTCTGCTCTGTACTCTTAGGGTAGAAGTGCTTGCTGCCACTTCTACAATGTATTTGGAGAGGTTTTCTTTCCTAACTCCACTGTCAAGTCTCTGAAGAATTTCTTTCTTTCCAAGTATCATGTAAGATCAGGTTTTTTTCATTTCTTCAAACTGGATTTGCCATCTCTGTTTAGTTCTTGACAGTCTTTAGTTTTGTCAGTTATTATCTGCCGACTTTTTGGGATGACATTTGTGGAATGATTCTTCTTACTTAATTTATTTGTTTTGAGTCAGGGTCTCACTTTGTCACCCAGGCTGGAATGCAGTGGCACAGTTACAGCTCACTGCAGCCTCCAACTTCTGGGCTCAGGTGATCTTTCTACCTCAGCTTCCTGAGTAACTGGGACTACAGGCGCACATCACCACACTGGCTAAGATTTTAATTTTTTGTAGAGATGAGGTCTCGCTATGTTGCCTAGTCTGGTCTTGAACTCCTGAGCTTAAGCAATCCTCCTGCCTCTGCCTCCCAGAGTGCTGGGATTACAGGCATGAGCCACTGTGCCTGGCCTTGGTTCTCCCTGACTGCATATTTTAGTTCTGAAATTGTGCCTTTACTCCACCCTGCCAGTCATACTGTTCCTTTTATAGACCTGTAGTTACTTAGTTGCTAGCCCTTCTCCCCAGACAAATGGTGTCCTGACCTGTTTTCACAAAACTTCCTTTTCCTTCCTGTTCTAAACTCTCATATCCTTATAACCTCTAGCATCTGAGATGTGCCATGGGTGGTATATACACTTGAAATCACATAGTGAGAACCAACCTTGATATAACTCAAATACTTATCCATATGTGTATAAATGAGTTTTAATCATGTTGTTTATGCATTTATATAATATATGTATAAGTATACATTTGGGTTCTACTTTCTTTTTTTAGCTTGGAAAATATAGTTTATTTAAAAGTAAATTGAAGAGGGAGAGAGAGAGGTAGAGAATGGAGCTAAAGCTAGGAAAAATGGCCTGGCCATAGCTCAGAGAGCACATGCCACACCAAAATTTACCAAAGCAAAGGCCTTTTTTTTTTTTTTTTTTTTTTTTTTTTTTAGTTAGAGTCTCACTCTGTTGCCCAAACTGGAGTGTAGTGGCACGCTCATGGCCACTGTAGCCTCTGCCTGCTGGGCTCAGGTGATCCTTCTGTCTCATCTTTCCAAGTAGCATGTACCAACACGCCTGGCTAATTTTTTGATTTATTGTAGAGATGAGGTCTCACCATGTTGCCCAGGCTTGTCTTGATCCTGTGAGCTCAGGCAGTCTTCTCACCTTGGCTTCCCATAGTACTGGGATTATAGGCGTGAGCAACCACACTCGGCCAGGTTCTACTTTTATAGTAGCAGCTTTTAATTTATTTTTTGATAAGTAAATGGATTCTACTTTTATTTATTTTGAGTCGGAGGCTCACTCCATCATCCAGCCTGGAGTGCAGTGGCACCCTTACGGCCACCCTAGCATTGACCTGCTGGACTTTGGTGATCCTACTGCCTCAGCCTTCCAGGTAGCCAGAACTACAGATATGCACTACCACACCCGGCTAATTTTTTGATATATGATAGAGATGAAGTCTCATCATGTTGCCCAGGCTGGTCTTGAACCCACGGGCTCAGGTAATCCTCTCACCTTGGCTTCCCAAAGTACTGGGATTACAGGCTTGAGTCAGTGCACCTGGCCCTGGGGTTCTACTTTTAAATTTATTGTCTGGGCTCAGTGGCTCAGCCTGTAATCCTAGCACTTTGGGAGGCCGAGGTGAGTGGATTGCCTGAGCCTGCGGGTTCGAGACCCGCCTGGGCAACTTGATGAGACCTCATCTCTACAATAAATAAAAAATCAGCCAGGCGTAGTTCTGGCCACTTGGAAGGCTGGGCGGAAGGATCGCCAGAGGCCAGCAGGGTGAGGCTCCGGTGGCCAGGAGCATGCCACTGCACTCCAGTCTGGGCGACAGAGTGAGACTCCAACCCAAAAATAAATAAATAAATAAATTCAACTTTTTTTTTTTTTTTAAAGTAAACAGGATTTATTGAGAGGACAGAAAAGTTCCCAGAGCAGGAGGGGACCCGTGGGGGCTGCCCTAAATTTAACATTATTTCTAAACATTTTCTAATGTTTCTGCTGTCATATTTATCATCTTTTTTTTTTTGAGTTGTAGTCTCACTCTGTTGCCCAGGTTGGAGTGTAGTGGTACGCTCACAGCCACCTCAGCCTTTACTTGCTGGACTCAGGTGATCCTTTCACTTCAGTCTTCCAAGTATCTGGAACTAGCCGGGCTCGGTGGCTCAGCCTGTAATCCTGTGCCTTTGGGAGGCTGAGGTGAG